GGTTTCTTGGGCCTCGATGGTTTTGTTGCGGAAAAGCGGGACGTTCCCACGCCATCAATCAATGGACGTCCTGGGGTCTCAGGGTTGGGTTTCTTGTGGAGGGTTTCTTGTGGTCGGGCCTCTACAGTAAGACTCCACGCGTGATGCCCCCATTTTCAGCCTGTTCTTGGTGCACGGGAGCGCGAGACCTAGGCGAGCAGGCCGCAGTGTGTCAGATCAGCGAGCTACGTTCGTGAACGTTGGCTCATCGTGCCGCGCCGCCTGTTTCGGCCCGCCACGTTTCAACGCAACACACAAGCCGCGTCTCTTGTTCGAAGCGGCAACGTCCCGAGCTTTTCCGAGCCTCCCGCCGCGCGAAGCGGAGCGACAGGCTAATCGTATCCGCTCGCAGGGCATAGCGTGTCGCTGGGACCGCCGCCGCGACGCGCCAAGCAAAAGCTGTTGACCACAATCCAGACGAAGCTCTGTAAATACGATCTCGAACTATGCGTATGTTTGTACGCGTGTGTCTCGGTACGGCGCATAATTTTGCCCAACCAAGTAGGGCGATTCCACGAGGATGCGCCTCGACTTTCACAGGGCTTTGGGGCGGGAGCGGCGGGGACTCGCACGCTACAGCTGGCACGAGGTCAGAGCGACCCTAGTTGGACGGGGCCAGGACAAGGACAAGTTCGTGCTAGAGCGCCCCTCCCTCCCTCTCCTCCTCCTCCTCCTCCTCCTCCTCCTCCTCCTCCTCCTCCTCCTCCTCCTCCTCCTCCTCCTCCACCGCCTCCTCCACCTCCTCCTCCTCCTCTCCCGGACGGGGCTAGGACGAGGATAAGTCCGCTCCAGAGCGCTCCGGAACGTTCGCAGAGAGTTCCGCAACGTTCTGGAAATGCCGCGGCGCCCGAGACATTCTCCAGAGCCCTCGATCTCAGAGATGATCGATGTATCCTCACCCGATGTTCTCCTGGTCCTGACTCCCTCTTACCCTCCGTTTTCCCTGCCCGGGCTCTCCACACTGGATGCTCTGGTGTTGGGCTCTGTGGGCCCTGGAAACGGCAGGGCCGTGTTTTCACCGTTTCCGAAAAAATGTCCTTTGAAAATGGAAACGGCAAAAACACGGCGACCGGAAACGGCAAAAAAAACGGCTCCAGGATTGGAACCGGAGCCGGAACCGGTCAAAAAACGGCGACGGAACCGGTAAAAAAACAGCGTCGGAACCGGCAAAAAAACGGCAAATCGGAACCGTTAACAAAAAAGGCCTTGTCGTTTCCAGGGCCCACTAAGCACCTGGACGTGGGGCCTTCGGCCTCGGAGTTGGCGATGAGGCTCTCGCACCCCATCGGTGACCAGGGAGGTGGCGGCTCGGTGCGGCCCGTGCCTGGCCGTGCGGAGGTGCTGACCGGCAACCTCGGCAGTGAGACCAAGATGAAGTTCGGATGCATGGTGGCGCCGACGATCGGACGTGCGAGTACGGGGTCGACTGCAGAACTGACCTATCCCAAACCTGATGTTCCTCGCCGGATCCATGGAAACAATGCGTCGAGCGTTCGTAGATATACCGGCAATTCTGCGTATTTGTGAGCAGATTCGACGTGAAAACCAATTCTGGGGTTACTCAATCCTGCGGTCGATCCCTTGCTCGAGGCATGGGACGGTGACCAGTGAGAGGTGCACGGACAAGCGTTAAATCGGGCATGTCCCTCTGCAGGAGCAGTAGTCACTAATAGTAAACCAAGTGTCTGGCGACGCTTTTCCGTGCTCTTATGACGAGTTTGTATATTTGTTGATTACGATGACTCTTCCCCCAGAGTCCGCTTGTAGGAGGACATGCCCGACCTAAGAAAAGCGCGTCGATGGCGTGGACGTCTGCGCCAGAGCTGCCCGCGGCGGGTCGCGCGCGGGCGCACCTCTTTACCGTTGTGAGTTGCGGCACGCGTGCGGGTCCTGCGTGGGCCACCGCATCGGCCCACCGTGGGCCTATACATGAATTGCCAGTTGCGGGCTGTTTTTCATCCCAGGACCTACCTCTTGAGGGTCGGGGACGACGTAGGGGCGGTGTGGTGTATACTTGTTTGGCCCGTTTCCCCGGGGAAACACCCGAAACATGTTCACATTGGGATCCCGTATACGCCGGGATCCGTTTTCCTGTGCGAAGTTCAGTGCGGGGCCAGAAAAAGCCTCGGTGGATAGAGTTCGGCTCCCTGTTTGCTGGTTCGCCGCCCAAGTGTCTGGAGGGTGCGGAGAAGTAGTGACAGGATTCCCTCCGCTCCAGGCGTCGTCAAAGAGCACGGCTGGTCGCTTTGCCCCAAACTGATCCACGTAATATTCAAGGATCAATCCGTCTTGAAGTCTGTCTTGAAAAGATGGGCTCGAGAGAGTGTTTCACGAAGTTGTGATTTGTTCACGACGCCCGACCTCGGGGTTCGTGCAAGGACAGTGGAAATCTGTGAATAATTGGACCTCGGGGGACAGGTAGAAACTGGACCAATTCTGCCGCCCACCATCTCCCGCATTCTCGTGTTTGACGTCTGCTCGGCCTCGATTGCTGTCTTTGGATTTCCACACCTTCGCACTGATCCACGACATTCCCACGCGCTGGCCCAACCCCAGGGCAGACTAACCCAGCGCAATATTGGTATCAAACGTCTGCCGTGATCCCCCCTCCCCCTAGTGAACAGGTCGCGCCCCGTCTCGATCGAGAAGCTTCTGTTTCTGGAGCCAAGGCAAGGGCGAACAGTTACGGCCCGTTTGCCCTCGTGGCCCCAAACATGTCCTGATGTGGGAGAGGACTGCAACAACGCGCTGCAGGCTTGTCATTTGTTAAATTGAACTTCGATAAGGTTCTAAGAATGTGCGATGTGGACGCTCGTTGCATCGCCTGTTTCAGCTTCATAATATTCAGCGTTATTTGTGTCTGGGAGCACTGTTCAAGTTCTGAACCTGGACAATAACACAGGGGGGGCATTGGTGCGGAGTGCGAACGGGTCCAGCCCTCCCGTGGGTTGTGTTTCAGTCCGTGAGGAACTCTAGAGCCCTTATCTGGGGACAATCATCATCCTGATCCTTTCCGCGAGCCGCGTCCAGCCGTGGTGACGTGAACATCCAGAGGCGCCCAAACACCTTCAAAGCGACCACATCGACGACGACGACTTAACAGTGCTCCCCGGCGCGTGCCGCCAACCCAGACCCCCGATGCCTTGATTAGTTCAATGCTTGGGCCCGGACCTCTTCGACCTCCTTCCAGGGCCCAGTGACTCGTCCAGGTTTGTTTTGTTGACGGTCCAGTGGCCCGAAATGGGATTTCGTATTTCGATGCCATGACCAATTTTGGCCAGCGTGGACTCCAAACAGTAAGTTGCTTCACCGTGGATGTGTAAGTTGTGTGGTGTAAGTGATGTGATGCACACTATGTGGTGCAAGCTAGATGGTGCAAGCTGTGTGGCGTAAGCTGTGTGGTGCAGCTATGTAGTGCCGGCTACGTGGTGCAGTCTGCATGATGCAAGCTATGTGCAAGTTATGTGGCGTTGGCTATGTGGTGCAAGTTAGAGATAGTGCAGGCTGCGTGGCGTAAGCTACACGGTGCAAGCCACGTGGTGCAAGGTGTGCGGTGCAAGCTACGTGGTGCAAGGTACGTGGTGCACGCTACGTGGTGTAAGCTTTGTGGTGCCGGCTGCGTGGTGTAAGCTGTGTGGGGCGGCGAAGGACGGGACCTGGGCCGCCGGGCCCGCACGCGGGCCCAGCTGTTTGGAGGGGATATAAAAAACCCTGGGTGTAAGCACTGCTTGAGGAATGTACATCTTCTGCCGCCCAGCCAGCAGGGCTTGTCGGGACGATCGAGATGGGTACGGAAAGAATGGGTACAATGCCCAACAGCAGTTCCTGTTCATGTTGACCAGGGCTCGCTGTCCGCGTCGCCGCGGCCTGTGTCCATTTCAGACAGATGGCCGCCTGCCCAACAACGGCCGCTGTTGGTTTGGGACAACACTTGTCGTTGGGCATTGCACCCATCTTTTCCGTGCCCATGTCGGGCGTCTGAAGCTTGCGCGCGCCGCCACCCTCCAGCAGGGGAACGGACCCCGAGGAACTGAGGCCCATTTCTTGTTCCACGATTTTAGTTTGAAGGTCAGGATGCCCGCGAGCGCCACCCTGGAAGTTGTGCATCGTCCGAGGTCTCCGTCCTGATCATTTCTGGGCTCTGGAGGTCTATATAGCCCTGCGCACGCCGCCAGCATCCCCCCATTACACTCGACGCGCCTAGTAAGGACGCGCGCCTTCATCTCGGTGCGGCCCGTCCTTTGCCACTTCCACTGGTCGCCCGCCGCCCCAAAAAATGAAATTTCGACCTCCAGTGATCTTGCGTCCTTGCCACATGTCCTTAATGCACGGCTTGACTGTACAGCCGGAGTCAAAGCCAGTCAGGATGCACGTCCAGCCGTTGGCGCGATGGTCCCGGTCGTGGGGTCGTGGGCAGATCTTTGAGGTGGTCGCGAGGCCGTGCGACAGGCAAACTGCCAAAGCCAGAGCCACTTGGCGATCACCCACCTTCGGCCCAGAAGCCCCCTGCCTGTGCCTGTGCCTGTCAGGGGCAATGACAAGTAAGCGTTTTCTTATGCTTTGTTCCCCACATGTTTCGTGGGGTTCTGGTTTTCTTCCCTGCCGCGGCGCACCCGCGTCTCCTCCTCCCCTCTCTCTCCTTCTTACACAGCGCAGCACAGCACAGCACAGCACAGCACAGCACAGCACAGCACATGCACAGCAGCGTAGGGGGTGCGTAGGGGCTGGTCTCTCACCGCGGCCGCTATCCGTGACGGTCGTCCAGGGCACAGCAGGCATGGCATATTCTCGACACCATAGGGGGTGCGCAAGGGGTGGTCTCTCACCGCGGCCGCTATCCGTGACGGTCGTCCAGGGCACAGCAGGCATGGCATATTCTCGACACCATAGGGGGTGCGCAGGGGGTGGTCTCTCACCGCGGCCGCTATCCGTGACGGTCGTCCAGGGCACAGCAGGCATGGCATATTCTCGACCGTAGGGGGTGCGCAGGGGTGGTCTCTCACCGCGGCCGCTATCCGTGACGGTCGTCCAGGGCACAGCAGGCATGGCATATTCTCGACACCATAGGGGGTGCGCAGGGGTGGTCTCTCACCGCGGCCGCTATCCGTGACGGTCGTCCAGGGCACAGCAGGCATGGCATATTCTCGACACCATAGGGGGTGCGCAGGGGGTGGTCTCTCACCGCGGCCGCTATCCGTGACGGTCGTCCAGGGCACAGCAGGCATGGCATATTCTCGACACCATAGGGGGTGCGCAGGGGGTGGTCTCTCACCGCGGCCGCTATCCGTGACGGTCGTCCAGGGCACAGCAGGCATGGCATATTCTCGACACATAGGGGGTGCGCAGGGGGTGGTCTCTCACCGCGGCCGCTATCCGTGACGGTCGCCCAGGGCACAGCAGGCATGGCATATTCTCAGACATCCATAGTGGCGACACCGTACTCACCGCGGCCGCTATCCGTGACACCGCGGCCGCTATCCGTGACGGTCGTCCAGGGCACAGCAGGCATGGCATATTCTCGACACCATAGGGGGTGCGCAGGGGGTGGTCTCTCACCGCGGCCGCTATCCGTGACGGTCGTCCAGGGCACAGCAGGCATGGCATATTCTCGACACCATAGGGGGTGCGCAAGGGGTGGTCTCTTACCGCGGCCGCTATCCGTGACGGTCGTCCAGGGCACAGCAGGCATGGCATATTCTCGACACCATAGGGGGTGCGCAAGGGGTGGTCTCTCACCGCGGCCGCTATCCGTGACGGTCGTCCAGGGCACAGCAGGCATGGCATATTCTCGACACCATAGGGGGTGCGCAGGGGGTGGTCTCTCACCGCGGCCGCTATCCGTGACGGTCGTCCAGGGCACAGCAGGCATGGCATATTCTCGACACCATAGGGGGTGCGCAGGGGGTGGTCTCTCACCGCGGCCGCTATCCGTGACGGTCGTCCAGGGCACAGCAGGCATGGCATATTCTCGACACCATAGGGGGTGCGCAGGGGGTGGTCTCTCACCGCGGCCGCTATCCGTGACGGTCGTCCAGGGCACAGCAGGCATGGCATATTCTCGACACCATAAGGGGGTGCGCAGGGGGTGGTCTCTCACCGCGGCCGCTATCCGTGACGGTCGTCCAGGGCACAGCAGGCATGGCATATTCTCGACAGCGTAGGGGGTGCGCAGGGGGTGGTCTCTCACCGCGGCCGCTATCCGTGACGGTCGTCCAGGGCACAGCAAGCATGGCATATTCTCGACACCATAAGGGGGTGCGCAGGGGGGGGTCTCTCACCACGGCCGCTATCCGTGACGGTCGTCCAGGGCACAGCAGGCATGACATATTCTCGACACCATAAGGGCGTGCGCAGGGGGTGGTCTCTCACCGCGGCCGCTATCCATGACGGTCGTCCAGGGCACAGCGGTATCGGCGGGGCAACGGCCACCAACATCATTCTCACATGCTTCACTTCAGCTCTCATCTCTCCAGCCATCATATAAGTATGTTGGGTTCCTCGGTAGCGTAATTTTACCTCTCGGCACGGGCCCTCGCACCCCCCCCCCCCCACAGAGTGAATATTTGCTGTTTTTTTGTGTCCTGTTTCACGCAGAGGACGCACTGTCGCAAACAATCGCATCCAGCAGAGGTCTGGAGCCAGACCCCTCCCCCCCTTCCGCCCAATGTCGAAACGCCGAATTAGAAAACGTTGACCAATGGGGGGGGGACTGGCCCAGGGTGGGAGTCATTGACCCTCAGTCGCGCATTCGTCGCCAATCGGGGCCTTGGCCCCCCTTTCCCGCCCAGGAAGGTGCAGTTTCGCTGTTGGCACATCGCCGGCCGATCGGCGATGCACCACCCATTCCGATGCACCACCGAGGAGTCCAGCACCCTTTCTCTCTTTCACAGTGATCTTCTCTGGCACAGCGCCAGCAGCATGGACACACACACACACACATTGGGTGGGGCTCTTCAGCCCGCGTGTCCCCTGGCGCAGGCACCCTCGCACCCTGTGAGCAAGCGTGCTCCCCGAGAGCTCGCCGTGGGGCTGTTCTACCGCTGCGGAAGCACAGCCGCTGCTCCTGCCCCTGACCCAGCTCTGCCCTCTCCCCCCCCACCCGCACCCTCCCACCTCCGCGCGGGCCCGCGCCGCCGCCTCCTCGGCCGACGCCTTGAGCTGGCCCGAGCCCTGGGCCCGGCGCCCAGCCGCGGGGCCTCGCGGCCGGAGGAGGGAGGGAGGGGGACGGAGCACCGAGATCCCCGCCGCCGGGATCCTCTCGGGACGTGGGCACCCAGATCCTCCGCGGCCAGAAGTCAGGGCTAATTTCGATTCCTCCGATTCGATTCGATTCGATTTCGATGATTTCCGATTCCGATCCGATCCGATTTCGGATTCCGATTTTGGCTCTGATTTCCTAACGAAGGCCTACTAGGCTGCCGATCTCCGCCGATTCGACTTTTCCCGACTCGGCTGCCGATTTCCGCCGATCCGATTCATTTCGATCGCCGATCCGACTTGTCGATTCGATTCTGGGCTCTCCTGGAAGTGTTCGGTGACGGACTTCGGTCCTGCCCCACCTCGGTCGCGAGCGGAGGGGCTGAATTGCGGTAAGGAGGAGACGGCGCGTCGAAGCCCAAGCGAGGGTTTCGAAGCCGTCGACGGCTCGCTCGTGACCGGAATTCGTGACCGCAGGCTGTATTTCGGTCGCGACCGGTTCGTCCAGGGCGTTACCAGAAATTTGCGGTAACGGATGATTTGGCCAGCCCAGGGCTGGGTTGGCGAACGGATGCGGATGCGAGTACAGCAAGGTCGCGGAACGCGTGAGGGGTGTGCGGTGTGCCGAATCGGGTGCGGTGCAGCCATGCGAGCGCACTCAATGCGGCCTTATATGGAGCTCCTTATGCGACAACGAAAATTGTAAGAGGTGTGTGCCAAATCGGGGGCGGGTACGCCATGCGAACGCAGCCATTGGGGCCTTCGGTGGGTCTCCCCATGGGGCCACAAAACGTGTGCGGGGTGTGCCGAATCGGTGGCGAGTACACCATGCGAGCGCAGCGAAAGGATCCTTCGGTGGAGCTCCTTATGGGGCCGCGAAGCGTGTGAGGGGTGTGCCGAATCGGGTGGGGTTAAGACATACAATCGCTGCCACTGGGGCCGTCGCTGGAGCCCCCTGTAGGGCCACGAAACGTGTGAGGGGTGTGCCGAATCGGGGGTGGGCGCGCCACGCGAACGCTGGCATTTGGGCTTCAGTTGGGGCCTCCTATTGGGACCATGAAGCGTGTGAGGGGTGTGCCGAATCTGGTGCGGTGCCCCCATGCGAGCGCAGCCACTGGGGCAGTCTGTGGAGCTCCAGCTGGGGCCACGAAACGCGTGCGGGCTGCGCCGATTTGGGGGGCGGGTACGCCATGCGAGCGCAGCCACTGGGGTCTTCGGTGGAGCTCCCCTTGGGGCCAAGGAACCTGTGAGGGGTGTGCCGAATCTGGTGTGGTGCCGGAGCACCGCCACTGGGGCCTATTGTGGAGCTCCCTAAGGGACAACGAAGTGAGGAGCGTGCTGACTCGGAAGCGGGTATGCCAAGCGAGCGGTGCCACTGTGGCCTTCGGAAGATTTCTTTCTGGGGCCACGAAGCATGTGAGGGGTGTGCCGAATCCGGTGCGGTGCCGCCATGCGAGCGCCGCCACTGGGGCCTTCGGTGGAGCTCCCCCTGGGGCCATGAAACGTGTGAGTGGTGTGCCCAATCGGAGGCGGGTACTCCATGCGAGCGCTGCCACTGGGGCCTTCGGTGGAGCTCCCTCTGGGGCCACGAAACGTGTGAGGGGTGTGCGGAGTCGGAGGGGGGTCCTCTATGCGAACGTTAGCATTTGAGCTTTTGTTTGGGTTCTTTATGGGCCACGAAGCGTGTGATGGGTGTGCCGACTCGGGCGCGGGCACACCATGCGAAGGCTAGCATGTACACCGTAGTTGGGGCATCTATTTGGCCACTAAGCGTGTGATGGGTCGAATCGTGTGCGGGTGCCGCCATGCGAACGCCGGCATTTGGGCCTTAGTTGGGGCTTTCTATGATGCCATGAAGCGCGATAGGGGTGGGCCGAAACAGAGACATGCGGAGGGCGAGGCAAGGATGGGAGGAGGGAGGAGGGCGAGGGTGAAAGGAGGAGGAGGTGGAGGAGACGCGGGGCGCTGCTGGTTCAAAACGTGGACCCAACACCACAGCATGGTCGGGAAATATAACAGACCAGAATTGGTGACGTATTAAACGTGACTGGCGTCAAGACGCCACGTTGGCCCGCCGAGGACAGAACGGAACTGACCATAATAGAGCATAACCGTACACAGTCTCACTACTTTCACATAACCGAATTGAATATCCAAGAATGCAGCAACGACCGATTGTCGGTGTCCTATCAAACGCAACATGCGCGCCGACGTAAGGCCGTGACATAACCTACTAGAACAGAACAAAAGAAACGACACGATACCATAACACGTCATATAATAATATCGAAGACGCCTACGGCGAATCACCGCCGCCCCCTGCCTTTTCGGGTACACCTATGTGGCCAAACGTGTAGGCCAAGTTTGGCCACGCTATTGGACCATGCGTTCCCCCAGCCTTTGTGGAAGCCCTTCGCGGAACACGTGGGGGAGGAAGAGGTGGATGAGGAGATGGAGGAAAAAGGAGGATGAGAAAAGGATGAGGAGGCCATGCTTGGGGCCTCCCGGGAGCTTCCTAGGGGTCTCTTGGAGGCTTCTTAGTGGCCTCGCTCGGCTTCTTGGGGGCCTCTGAGAATGTCTTAGGGCGTTCCTGGCCCGTCGGGAGCCGTCTTGGGGACCTCTCTGGACCGTCTTGGGGCCCTCCCGGGGCGCTTCAGGGCTGTCTTGGAGGCCATCTTGGGCGTCTTGGAGGCCTCTTGGGCCGTCTTGAGGCCCTCTTGGGGCCGTCTTGGGGGACCTTTGGGCCGTCATGGGACCATCTTGG